GTTATATCCTTTAACCCTACTTATTCACTCTGTACACTGAGCAAATAATCCAAGAAGCTGGATGAAGAAGAATGTGGCATCAGAATTGGAGGAAGACTCATTAACAACCTGCAATATGCAGGTGACAAAACTTTACTTGCTTAAAATGAAGATGACTTGAAGCACTTACTGATGAAGATTAAAGGCTACAGTCTGGAGTGTAGATTACATATCAACATAAAGAAAATCCTCACAACTGGACCAATAAGCAGCATCACAACAAATAGAGAAAAGAAGGAAGTTGTCAAAGATTTCATATTACTTGTTTCCACAGTCAACACCAATGAAAGCAGCAGTTGACATCCAATGACATATTGCACTGGGCACATCTGCTGCAAAGACCTCTTTCAGCTGCACAGGAGCAGAGAAGTCTCTTTGAAGACTAAGGTGTGCCTAACACAAGCCATGGTATTTTCAATTGCCTCATATGCACGTGAAAGCTGGACAGTGAACAAGGAAGACTGAAGAAGAGTTGATGCTTTTGAGTTGTGGTGTTGGCAAAGAATACTGAAAGTACCATGGCCTGCCAAAAAAAACAAACAAATCTGTCCTGGAATAAATGCAGCCAGAATGCTCCTTGAAATTTAGAATGGCCTGACTTTGCCTTACTTTGGTCATGTTGTCAGAGGGAACCATTCCCTGAAGAAGGATATCATGATTGGTAAAGTGGAGGGTCACCAAAAAAGGGGAAAGCCCTGAACAAGATGGATTGACACAGTGGCTGCAACAGTGGGCTCCCACAGAGCAAGGATTGTGAGGCCGACACAGGACTGTACATTGTTTTGTTCTGTTGTACATAGGGTTGCTATGACTTGGAGCCAACTCGACAGCACCTAACAACAACAACCATCTGCCAGTAGAGGTAGTTTTACTTCTTCTTTGCCAGTTTGGATACTTTTTATTTCCCTTTCTTGACTTATTGTTCAGGATGGGGCTTTCAATACAATATCGAATAAAATTGGTTACAAATGGTATCCTTGTCTGACACTCATTCATAAGGGAAATATTTTCACTCTCTCTCCATTGAGACCAATGTTACCTGTTGCTTTTGTTTATATGCCCTTAATTATGTTGAGGAATTTCCCTTCTATTCCTATTTTATTGAGCATTTTTATCAGGAATGGGGGTTGGATTTTGTCCAATGCCTGTTTTGTGTCAATTGATATGATCATATGGTACTTCTCTTTTGTTTTATTTATGTGGTGGATTACATTGGTTGTTTTTCTGATGTTGAACCATCTTTGCATACTTGGTGTGAATCCCCCTTGGTCATATTATTTTTTGATTTGTTGTTGGAGTTTGCTGGCTTTGGTTTTGTTGAGACTGTGTATATCTATGTTCATGAGGAATATTATTCTATAATTTTCTTTTTTAGAGGTGTCTTTGCCTGACTAGGTATCAGCATTATTCTCCCTTCACAAAATGAATTTGTAAGTATTCCCTCTTCCTATAGTCTGGAATAATTCAAGTAGAATCGATGTCAGCTCTTCTCTGAATGTTTGGTAGAATTTGCCAGTGAAGTCATTTAGGCTAGAACTTTTTTGTATGTATTGGTGGTTTTTTAACGACTTGTTTAATTTCTCCTTTTGTGACAGGTCTGTTCAAATTTTCTACCTCAGTCTGTGTTAGTTTAGGTAGGTAGTGTGTTTCTAGAAATCTGCCCATTTCTTTTAAGTTTTCAAATTTATTGGAGTACAGTTCTTCATAGTATTCTGTTATTATCCTTTTTATTTCAGTTGGTTCTGTTGTGAGGTCACCCATTTCATTTATTATTCATGTTATTTTCATCTTCTCCTTTTATCCCTTGTTAGATTTGCTGATGGTTTGTTAATTTTATTAATCCTTACAAAGAACCAAGTTCATTTACATCAGTATAATTATCGATAGGTTTGAATTTATTGCTGTAATTTTCTGTGTGTTTTTGTGGAGCTGCTATTCACTTGGTTCCATATAATTTTCTGTGCTGAGCTAATTTATAGATTATCTTATCATTTCCTTTATTGCTATTGTTTTGTGTTTGCTAAATTTTTGTAACTTTGTTATTTTTATTTTGGTGAGAATGTTTATTAATTTTCTTTTAGGTTACCCTGTAATTATTATTTTCATTCCAAGTTTAAAACAGTCTGTTCTATCTTGAGATCTTCTTGACTTCTTCTCCATTTGGAAGTTCTGTAACTACACTGTTTATTCCCTCTTTTTGGGTTGTATTTGTCCTCATTTAAAAATTTATATCTGGTCTATTTTCAGTCTCCTAGGTTTATTTTACTTGAGATAGATATTTCTATATCTCAGTTGGTTTCTGTGTGATGTCATGTGTGTTGATCTCAGATTGTTATCTGCCATTATTGATATTCTGTCCAAAGGATTCCCTTTAGCATCTCTTGTAAGGTTGATCTGTTCTTTGGCAAATTCTCTTAATTTCTGTTTATCTGGAAATGTCCTAATTTCACCATTGAATTTGAGGGACAGTTTTTCTTGATATATCATTCTTGGTTGGCAGTTTTTTTCTTTGAGGGTTACATATATGTCATCCCATTGCCTTTTTTTTTTTTTTTAATTGTGATTTGGGTGAAAGTTTACAGAGCAAATTCACTTTCCATACAGCAGTTCACATACACTTTGTCTCATGACATTGACTACAATTTACCATAATTCAACAGCTCCCCTCTGACTTCCCCCCATAGTTACTTCTTCCCTGTGTTCATCCCTTCATGCACTCCTGCCCCCTGAGCTGTCTCCCTGTACATACACAGCCCTTCTATTCTCACATGATTGTTCTCTCCAAGGAGTGTATCTACCTAATGTAAATGTTCACCTCATATGCCTGTCTTTTGTTTGGCTGGAAGCCACAGAAGTGCGTTCACCCATTGCCTTCTGGTCTCTATCATTTCTGCCAAGAAATCAGAGTTCAGTCTTCTTGGCTGTCCTTTGTAGATAATTTGTCTTTTTTTCCTGAGCTACTTTCAGAATTCTTTGTCTTTGAAGTTTTGTTATGATATGTCTTGGTGATTTTCTTTTGATTGTGTCCTATTTGGGGTTCATTGAGCTTCTTAATGCATATCTTCTCATTTCTCATCATATTAGGGAAATTTTCTTCCAAGAAATCTTTGACTATTTTCTCTGGTTTTCTTTGGTCCCTTCCTGTTCTGAAATTCTTATCACATGTAAGTTATTACTCTTGATGGTGTCGCATATAAGTATTAGGGTTTCTTCTTCTTCTTCTTTTTTTTCATTCTTTTTTCTGATTGTTCCTCTAACAGAATAGTATTGAGAGGTTTGTCTTCAGTATTGCTGATTCTGTCTTCCCTTGATAAAATTCTACTCCTTTGCCCTTTCAATGTGTTATCTATTTCTGAAACCTTAATATTCTGAAGTTCTATTTGCTGTTTTTATGTGGTTTCTAATTTTTCATTTATTAAATTCTTCTAGAATTTTGCCTGTGTTTTCTATGATCTTTCTCTTGATCCTTTGAAGGTACCTAAACAAAATTATGGGAGCTCTGGTAGAGTAGTGCCTCAGGCACTTGACTGCTAACCAGAAGGCTGGTGGTTCAAACCCCCCAGCCACTCCTCAGAAGGAAGGTTGGGCAATCTACTTCCATAGTGATACTGCCTCGGCAGCACAAGGAGAGGTCGCTATGAGTCAGGTCCGATTCCATGGCACATTAACAAAAACAACAACAACAAATGTAATTACTTTGAATTCCTTAACAGGTAATTTCAATGCCATTTCTTCCTGAGGAAAGTTTTCTGGTTCTGTAGTTTGTTCATTTGTTTATGCTACTCTGTGTTGCTTTTTTGTGTAAAATGAGATTGTCTGTTGTCTTCAAGACATTACGGTGGTGTGGTATTTTTATTTAATTGGTTATGATATGTTAGTGTATTTTGCTCAGATATATTTTGTTTTGTTATGTTGGGGTCAGTGTGTGACTCTTTTTGCTAGTTTGACAGCACTTAGGCACTCACTGCCTATCCTGGTGGGTGCGGTAGAGGATGGGAGCTCACGCTTGTAGTTCTCTGCTTGCTGTTCATGTAGAGCAGTTGAGAGTGGGTTGGGCTAATGTTGGACACCATCTATCATTGAGCAGTCAGTGCAGGAACTGGTGGTGGCCCTTACCTAGTGGGTAGGGCTGCAGGAGGTACAGGTGTGGTTGGGCAATGTGGGCATGTTGCTTTCTATTGCCAGCTGCTGGCCTGAGTACATGTGCAGTCCTCTGCAAGTAGAACCAATTATGAGGTTACTGCCTCTAGGAGCTCTAGTGGCATAGTGCCTAAAGCATTTAACTGCTTACCAGAAGGTTGATGATTCAAACCCACCAGCCACTCCTAGGAAGGAAAGTTGGGCAATCTACTTTCATAGTGATGCTGCCTCAGAAACTCAAGGAAGGGTCACTATGAGTCAGATCTGACTTGATGGCAGTGTGTGTGTACATGCATGTCTCTATTGGAACACTGCTTGCTAAAATTGAAAATGTGCATGCTGTGTCAGGCTAGTTGACTATTTACAGCTCCGTTTGTCTCCTGTTCACTGTTTTCATTCAGTTTCTTCTTCTAGTTGGTATTTGATCCACTTCTTTATCATTTCCTTCAAAACTTATAGTTCCAGGAGTATCATCTGTATGTGTTTCATTTGGTTGCCCGTGTCTTTGATGTAGAAAGTCTGAGTGGCTTGCCTAGTCTGCCATCTTGCCAGAAGTCCTTGTTCTTATTTTTATGGGTAATATTGTATTGAAAGATACTTATACTTCTCCAGAAGAACAGCATAACTTTCCAGTGTCACCACTTCTAGGACATTTCTGTTCTGGCCTAACAGTTCCCTTGTCTATATACCCCAGAGATCACCTTGAACCTTAATATCTCCAGGCTTTCTCTGAAGTTCCTTCCCAAACTGTTCTGTACCTTCACCAACTTCCTTGTTGCCTCTCTAAACCTTTTCGCATTTTAACTGTCCATGTTAATTCCAAACTCTGGAATGTCTTCTCAGTAACCCTAGCCTGACTCTATCTTTCTTTTTATATAGCATTTACACTCAGGAGGTTATTAACTCCATGGTACTTGTTTGGCTGCCCTATAATACCTTTTAAATTTTATATACCTTTTTATATTTTATATACCTTTTAAATTTTCTCTTGCTAATTGTGTTTTTCTGCACAAGAGTCTAATATTCCCAACCAGACTGCAGCGTTCTTGAGAGCAGTGACTATTCTAATACAGCCTCCAACACACTTTCTAACCTGGGACTCTGCAGATAGACCCTCATTAATTATTTTTGAATAAACAGATTTTTGTATATATGAAGATTTTGTTCTTTATGTCTAAACCAATTTTATTCTCTTTAGTGTTTCTTACAGGAACTGACAGACTACAATTTAAAGAGTTAAAGAATATGAAAATAACGTTTTGCTGCCCTGAAAATTGGAATGAAAAAGATCCCATAAGAGTACAGACATGTGTTAGTGTCCTCTTTCTCCCTAAATATTCAACAATGGAAAGAGTGGAAGAAGCACTTCAAGTAGCCGTCAACAATGACAGAGGATTTGGCTGATCCTTTATCACCTTTGTTGTTGTTATGTGCCGTCAAGTTGGACCCGACTCACAGCGACCCCTCCTTGGGTTTCTGAGGCAGTATCACTACAGAAGTAGATTGCCCAACCTTCCTTCCGAGGAGTGGCTGGTGAGTTTGAACCGCCAGCCTTCTGGTTAGCAGTCAAGTGCCTTAGGCACTATGCTACCAGAGCTGTAAATATTTTTAAATAAAATTAAGAACTCAAAAATTAACATACAAGTCTTGATCCCTATTCAGTGTTTACCTGTATGGCTGCAATGGATGCTCAATATCTTTAATTATATATTTTAAGGAGGAATTTTAAAATTTATTTGGGAGTTTTACTCCATAATTACTGGCTATTATTCCATTTTTGTTGCTTAGCTTAGTGAATGGGCAATTTCAAAAAATTTCCACCAGAGAGTTTAACTGGGCTTGGGGACTTAGAATCATAGTCACAGGGGACATCTAGGTCAATTGGTATAACATAGTCCACAAAAAGTAATGTTCCCCATCCTACTTTGTTGAATAGAGACTGAGGTCTTAAAAGTTTTTGAGCAGCCATCTAAGATGCAACTATTGGTCTCTCCCTGACTGTAGGAAAAAAACTAAAGAAAATGAAAGATGCAAGGAAACCATTAGTTCAAAAGATTAATAGCCCATGTGAACCTCATCCTCTTCTGCCCTGTGACCAGAACTGGATGATGCCCAGCTACCACTACTGCCCACTCTTACTAAGATCACAAAAAATGTGGGAGAAAAATGTGGAATAAAACAAAATAATTTTTGAAAGACCAGTATTACTGGTCTGATAGAGCTGATGGAATCCCCAAGACTATGGACCTTAGATAGCCCGCAGACCTAGAACTGGCTCAACTTTTAGCCAAACAATATGCAGGCCTAGAAAGTGAAAAATTACATCAGGGAGGAATGCACTTCTCAGAATAATAAACCATAAGAGACAAAAAGAGTAGCATTTGCCCCAAAACAAAACTCAGAAGGCAGAAAGGGGCAGGAAAGAAGGACAAATGAAAATGGGGAACACAGGGAGGAAGTGGGAAGAGTGTTTTTACACTGAGAAGATTGAAATCAACTTTATGGAACAAAATGTGTGTAAAATTGAATGGAAAACTAATTTTCTGTGTAAAATTTCACCCCAACCACAATAAAATGTTAAAAAAAAAAAAAAAATTCTACCAGGAATACGACCTGCTTTCTCCACTGCTATTCAGCATAGTGCTGGAAGTTCTGGCCAGTGCAGTTAGGCAAGGAATATAAATAAAAGGCAACCATATTGAAAATGAAAAGTGTATAAATACATGATTAACGAAACACAAAACCCATTGCCAGCAACTTAATTCCAACTCATAGTGACCCTGGAGGACAGAGTAGAACTACCCTATGAAGTTTCCAGGCTGTAATCTTTACAGGAGCAGACTGCTACATCTTCCTCCTGTGAAGCACCCAATGCATTCAAACTGCTGACTTTTCACTTTGCAGCTGAGTGCTTAACCACTATGCCACCAGGTCTCCTTTTAGACATGATACAAATATATAAAAAATCTTAGAAGAATACACACACACACACATGTTAAAGCTAATAAAATTGGCAAAGTTGCAGAATACCAGATGAATACACAAAAATCAGTTGTTTCCATACACAATGAACAATCTGTTAAGAAAAATGAACCTGTTTACAGTTGCATCCAAAACAATGTAATATGTAGGAATAAATTTAACCAAGGATGTGAACGACATGTTCACTGGAACTACAAAACATTGCTGAAAAAAAAGAGAACCTAAGTAAATGGAAAGCTATCTCATGTTCATGGATTTAAGAAGATTTAATATTGTTAAGATGGCAATACTGCCACAATCAATCTACAGATCCAAATCAACCTTTACCAAATTCCAATGGCTACCTTTGCAGAAATGGGAAAGTCAGTCCTCAGATTTGTATGAAATTGCAAGGAGTCCCAAAGAGCGAAAACAATTTTGAAACAGAAGAACAAAGTAGGAGGACTCACATTTCCTGGTTTCAAAACTAATGACAAAGCTACTATAATCAAAACTGTGTGGTACAGGCATAGACCAACTAAATACAACTGAGTCCAGAAACAAACCCATAGATCTATGGCAATTGAATTTTGGCAAGGGTGCTACAATGATACATTAATGGATGAGAAACAGCATAAATCTGATTTCCAAAAGATAAAATCGATCATATTATTGCTTTCCCATTTCTCAGTCATTTTTGACACCAGCTGCCCATACGGTACACTATCTATGACTTTAGCTACTCAGAGTTAAGGCAGATCTCACCATTTAAAAGTACTCTATCCTTTTGTACTGACAAATAGGCAGATGCCAGCTGCAAGTTTGAGAGTACACAAAACACCCTCACTTTCACCTGGTGGCTCCCTCTTCTCCTTTGGATTAAATAATTTGCTGTAACAACTCTCAGAACTCATGGAGAGTACTATAGTACATCTACCAGTTTTATAGTAAAAGGCTACAAGTCCCAATTATCATAAGAAAGAGATGAATAGGCAAGATCTGGGAGGCCCCCCAACATGGAGCTGCTGTGTCTCAGGGGGCATGTCACCCTCCCTTTGCTGAGCAGGAAGCTCTCTGAACCTTAGTAATCTAGGCTTTTATTGGCCAGTCCTACATGATAGGCTAAATCGTACCTCCCTCCTGAGGCTAGTTGATAACGGCCTCCCAGGTGAATCTTTTCTGGTCTGTCTAGCCTCCATTCACCAACATAAATCCTTAAGTGGGACCTGGAAAGTCCCAGAATGTGATAGTTGCAGCTGTGTATCAACTTGGCTGGACCACAATTCTGTGTGGTTTAAGCAATTGTAATATGGGTTGTTCCAATGATGCGATAAGATGTATATGTTTTCAGCGGCCAATCCGTTGAAAGGGAGTTTCCCTAGGGGTGTGGCCTGCTTCCAGTATTTCTTATGGACATCCTGGGAAAAGAAACACTCTTCTGTGGATTGGGATTCTGTTGTGCTGCCTACTAATGTCTGTGAGTGAACAATCTACCATTCGGCCTGGAGATCTTGGATTCGTCATTCGTTGGAGTCAACAGCCAGTATACTGCCTGCCAACCATGATCTCTTCAAGCAGCTGCATGAGTCAGGAAGAGCCTCTACCTTGATGTTTGATCCAAGAACTTGGGACTTGCCAGCTTCTATAAGGGTGTGAGCCATTTTCTTAAGATAAATTTTCCTTTCTCTCTATATATAAGCTTTACTAGTTTTGTTTCTCTAGAGAACCCAGTCTAACACAGAGAACTCCAATGGATATTTTTCTGGAGCCAACCACAAAAGCCACCTTACTTAGATTAGAACTAAGTCATTTGTCCCACAGATGCCAAGACAATTCGGTGAGCAAAGAATAAACATATAGTGCTGGGACAACTGGATACCCACATGCAAAATGATAAGGTTTGACCCCTACCTCTACTGTATACAAACTCACTGCCATCGAGTCAATGCTGACTCAGAGAGACCTCCATTGTGTTTCTGAGGCAGTAAATATTTACGTAAGTAGATTTCCCCATCTTCCTTCCACAGAGCAGCTGGTAGGTTTGAACTGCCAACCTTTTGGCTAGCAGTCAAATGCCTTGGGCACTAGCCACCAGAGCTCCACTACATACAAAATAACTGAAAATGGACCAAAGAGCTGAATGTGAGAGCAAAACTGTACAACTCTTAGAATAAAGTATAGGAGTAAATCTTCATGACTTTGAATTTTGCAATGGATTCTTATATATGACACTGAATGCATGAACAATAAAAAGCTAGATTGGACTTCATTAAAATTAAAAATTTTGTTTATCAAAAGACATTATCAAGAAAGTGAAAAGACAATCTACAGAATGATAGAAAATATTTGAAAATCATATATACAATGAGAATCTAGTATCCAGAGTATATAAAGAACTCTTAAAATTCAACAATAAAAAGGAAACCCAGTTAAGAAATAGACAAAGGACTTGAGTAGACATCTCTCCAAAGAAGATATACAAGTGGCCAACCAGCAAATGAAAAAGATGTTCAACGTATAAAACCAAAAACCAAACTCACTGCTGTAAAGTCACTCTCGACTCATAGCGACCCTTCCTTGGGTTTCCTAGACGGTGTCTCTACAGAAGTAGATTGCCCAATCTTCCTTCCGAGGAGTGGCTGGTGGGTTTGAACTTCCAGCCTTCTGGTTACCAGTCAAATGCCTTAGGCATATTAGTCATTGAAAAAAAAAAAAACACCTCACTGCCATCGAGTCAATTCTGACCCACAGTGACCGCAATTGGATATCCAAGGTGGTAAATCTTTGTGGTAGTAGATTGCCCTTGTGGGTTTGAACTGCCAACCTTCTGGTTAGTAGCCAGATGCCTCCAGCACTGCACCACCAGAGTTCTTTAAAGAAATGTAAATCAAAAGTACAAGGAGATACCAATTCACATCCACTGGGATGAATGCAATAAAAAAGATATACAATAACAAGTGTTGGTAAGGTTGTGAAGAAATTAGTACTCTCATACATTGCTAATGACAATGTAAAATGGTACAGCTGCTATGGAAAACAGTGTGGCTTAACTCTAAAAGTTACATATAAAATGACAACATGACCCAGAATTCCACTCCTAGGTATATCCCCAAAAGAATTGAAAACAAGGACTCCAACACATATTTGTCCATGAGTGTTCATTATTATTCATAGTAGCCAGAAGGTGGAAACAGCGTAAGTTCTATCAACAAATGAATGAATAAACAAAATACGGTATATAGATAAAATGAAATATTATTCAGTCTGTTGTGGGAATTTCCCAGGGAATTTGGAATTTCCCTTTGAATAGATTCAGAGAAACTAAAAAATCTGCCCAGGGGTGTCCTTACCAGCATGAGCTTTATTTAGAATATGAGAAAAGAGAATCAAGAGAGAGAGGATTTACAAGATAATAGATGAAAGAAAAGTAGGCACAGGCTTAC